CCTTAGGCCCACCACTTGAGGTAGCGGTCAGCCTGGTCTACACAGGGAGTCCCGCCACGGAGCCTGAGTGGGTCCAGGCTGGCCCGGCAGTCTCACAGCTGCAGCGCCAGGAATGAAGAGGAAGAGGCTCATGGGAACGACTGGGGTGGACGGCTGCACAGGCTGTTCCCATCCATGCTGCCACACCCAGCCTTTCCCTCCTCAGGGGTCACCAGTCCTGAGCTTGGACCTGGCCAGTGTTTCCTGTTGATATCCTTCTAGCCACCCAAGCCCAGCTGGGAGAGAGTGTGAGCTCCGGCCCTGGGACCCACAGAGTAGGGGAGAAGAGACTCCATGAGTCACAGCATGTGCATGCAAACACAACAGGAATGTCTAAAAAAAAAAAAAAAAGGAGTTTCAGGGGGCTGAGAAATGGCTCAGTGGTTAAGAGCACTGACTGCTCTTCCGGCAGACCCAGGTTCGATTCTCAGCACCCACATGGCAGCTCACAACTGTATGAAAATCCAGTTCCAGGGGATCTGACACCTTCACACCAATGCACATAAAATAAATGAATCATAAAAAAATTTAAAAAAGGAATTTCATCACATAATGCTAACCTTTCAGAGTCTGATCTAAAAAGCACAATAAAGTGTTATCACCACTGTGGCCGCTCTCATGCCACAGTGGGTCCTTGATGCCAGCGATGCTACAAACCGGCTGCAGAAGACAGAGACATCAGTCAGGGATGGGGTGGCAGCCCACTCCCTGGGGGCTGGCTGAGGGGAAGACGGGCCCTGTGTGCCACACTACAACATGCCATGGGGGCCAGGCTGGCACAGCAATGACAGGACTCTCACAGGTGTCAACTTCAGGTTGGCGGGACACTGCCTACTTGTGTTGGGAGATCACAGTCCGCAGCAGCTATTGTAGGCAGGGTGTCATGGCACCCGGGCTGACATCAGATTCTTTGTAGCTGAGGATTGCCCTAACTTCTGATCTGACCTCCCGAGTGCTGGGACAACAAGCACACACCTGGCTTTGCGGTGCCAGAGATGGGATGTAGTCAGGGCTCTGTGCACACTGCGGTTCTGGGGAATGTCTGCAGAGTGCCCGTCAGGACACACACTGCGGTTCTGGGGAATGTCTGCGGAGTGCCCGTCAGGACACACACTGCAGTTCTGGGGAATGTCTGCGGAGTGCCCGTCAGGATGCCTTCTACACATCTGCGCTTCCATCTAAGGGTCATGGCGGCTGCAGGTCTGGTAAGCCACAGAGGGAAACCAGCCAGGCTCCTGAGGAGAGCTGACCATGGCTGTGGCACAGTGGACCAATGGTCAGCCTTCACTGGAGAAAACACCACATTTAGCTCCTAGGGCTCAGGGCGTGTCACAGAAGAGGAAAGAGTGGAGGGTCTTGAGGTGTCTGAGGCTGGAACTCCGCCGTAACGTTCCTAAATTCAGGGAGCGTAAGCTCACAGAGGCGCTGCCAAGGCCACACACAGCACTTGCTGGGGGTAGACAGCCAGCCCAGTGCCGCCAAGCCTGTCAAGAGTCAGCTTCTCAGCGAGGAGCACCCCCACAGTCCTAAGGGCTCCCCACGAGTCCACTGCTTCATTACACTCAACCTGGGTGGAGTCATTTCTGTCGTGTGGGTGATATATCTGGGGCACAGAGATTTGGTTTCTATCTCCCCACAAGTCACTCAGCATCTGGGCTCTCAGAGCTCACTCCTCCTGGTGGCAGACTCCTCAGGGAGAGACTGGATGTCGCCAGAGGACCTGCCGTGGAAGCAGACGAGGAGCCACGCTGGCCTGAAGGCATGGATGGACAGCAGTTTGCAGCAGGACTGGCAGGGTCCTCACTAGGATGCCTGGGCCTCTCACACAGACTTGGCCTGGCCTGCCCCCTTTTAACTCAGCCTACACCCTGCAAGAGGCCCTGACCTCTAGGGAGCAGATTGGGGAGGCCCAGGCTGCCCCAGCCCCGGCTCCTGGAGGCCCTAGACAGAGGGCAAGCAGCTGTGGGCCTTGTTTCCAAGCCAGCACCGTGGGGTCCAGTGTTGTCACCTCAAGAGAGCTGTGTCCTTGGCATCAACTGCCCACCCGTGGTCCCCACAATATCATCTCTGCCTCTCCAGGCTGCTGGGTGTGTCCAGCTCAGGAGAGGGAAGGGGCAGAGAGCAGCAGAGTCCAGACTCCTCCTGCCATCTGTGCTCAGAAAGCTGCATCGGCACACAGTAAGTCCATTCCTGTGTGGCAGCCACGGTTCCTCCCCGTCCCCGCAGCAGGGCACTGTGAGAGGGGCCAGCAGAGCCCTGCTCTGTGGGCTCAGGACGGGGCTGTCTGTGAAAAGTGGCTTTTGTGAAAACCGGTGATCGAGAGAACTGCCTCTCCTCACAGCGGCCATTTATGACCACAAAGGCGCATTCATGGTCACAGCGCACAGGGCAACCTTTCTACTCCACCAGCACAGGAACAACACGGTGGCTCTTCTAAGAACCAGTTCCTAAGGCTCTGTGTCCCAGTGACACCTGAGTGCAGAAGCCCCGACAGCAAGTTTACTTAGAGACATCTGGGTACCATGAGCCCACCTCAGAGCGGTGGGCAACCAAGACAACGAGGAGTAGAACATTAGGGGGCCTCGGGACACCAGAGGCCTGATGGGGAGCCAGGAGTGGGGCTCAGGGACAACAGAGCCTGCCACAGTGCCATGTAGTCTGTCTGCACACTCCTCTCCTGGTAATGGAGAGAGGGTATAACTGGGGACATCTGGTCTTTGAGTCAGAGTCACAAAACAGCAGGGGTCCAAGCCTGCCACCAAGCCACCTCCTGCTCAGAACCAGCTTCACAACTAGCATCGGGAGCAAGCTGTTGTGACCCAGCCAAGAATGCCACCTCTGCCTGTTCCCCACCAGATGTGGGAATGGCAGGGACAGCTGCTTTTGAGCAGGATAAAATCCAGGTGACACCCATGGCCTGCCCAGGTAAAGTCCGCAGGCACACAGGTTCACTGTCCCAGGCCCCAGGCTCTTCTGCTCCACTGTCTCCAACCTTGAGAGGAAAGCTGGCCTCACCCTTTTGTCTAAACAGCTCCCCTGGGGGGAAGCACTCCCCAGGTGACAACTCAGGCTCATCCCCAGGGAAAATGCTATTTCTCACAGCCTGGCCAGCACCTGCTGCCCACAGCGCCCTTCCTTGCCCACCCCTGGCAAACTATTCACCCTTCAGAAGCTCCCAGTGTCACTGCGCCTGAAAAGCCCTCCATCGGGGAGAACAGATCAGAAAGAAAGCAAGACTGGCCAAGACAGGTCCAATCATGAAGTCAAAGACAAGACAGGAAAAAGTAGAAAAGCCGCAGTGGGCATCACCTGCCCAAAGAGGGCTATTTCCAGAGGCAGGCCAGTTGTAGGCCCACACAGTGTCTGGCGCTCTGAGGCACAACTGCCCTTCCACACGGGTGGCTGCCAGGCTCTTTACAGTAAACCTGAGCGGCCTGAGCAATAGGCCAGGGTATGCTAATGTCCTTCTGCTCCTTGCCTGGGAAAGAGGTGTTTTCAGGAGGCACACACAGACAAAGAGGTGACCTAAGTCACCCCCCCCCAACCTAGAAAACAATTGCCAATGAAGTTTTTTGTTAAGCTTCCTGCTCAGTTTACCTTGATATAAAAGCTGTTTGGAAAATAAACGCAGGTGATTTCAGGATCTGAATTATCTCTGAAACTCCCTCCCGATACTGTGTGAATTGGAATTGTGTCTTCATTTATTTCCACGCCTCCACTCTGGTACAAGAAATGATTTATGTCTGGGCTGGTCCCTGACACCAGGAAAACATGGCACAGAGTCCCTGGACCACTGGCAGGACACAGCAAGCCCTGACACACTTTCCAAAGCTCATGTCCAGCCAAGAGCTGGATGTGGGGATAGAACTGGCCAAAGGGAGATGTGGGCCCCATGGTGGAGCAGCTAGGAACCACAGGCCTGGGGAATGCTTTAACTTCTTAGCCAATCATGGAAGGGCATGCCAGGCATGCCAGAGCTGGGGAGGCTGAGGCAGTTACAAGCCCAAAGCTAGCCTGGGCTATAAGGGGAGACTTGTCATAAAATTTTGTAATCTCAAAAAACAAAACAAAAAAAAAAAAAAAGGAAAGAAAAAAGAACTTAAAGAAACAACCCCAGAGTCCACTAGAGAAGAGGAACATATAGTATAATGTGCACTTAGGACAGTAGCACAGGCTGCCCTGCAGGCTGTCCCCAGTAGAACCCAGCAGCTGCCTCGTGTGCCTGAGGCTGCAGCCCTCCAAGATCCACAGGGACTGGAGGCTGATGCCACAGCGACAAACGAAGGAATCTAACAAGCCAGGGGTGTGACACAGAGCTGTCATCCTGGCGCTCGGGATACTGAGTTTCAGGCTACAGTGAGTGCAAGGCCAGCATGCCACCGCATCTCAGAAAGAAAGCACACCAAAAGCCAGGCTCCTGCCTGGGTACCAGGCCGGGGCGCATCCAGCGCACAACCTCAGGTCCCCCACGTCTTGCACTGACCCAGAGATGGGGACACCCCCGCCCAAGGTCACGGAGCAGAAGCCGGGGCGCAGGGCTGCAAGCACCGGAGGAGAAGCGCGGGGACTCGCCCCATTCTACAGAAGGGGAAACTGAGGTTGGCAGGGGGCGGCGGTGGCGGTTGGGGCCCCGGGGCGCAGGGCGGGCTGAGCCCGGCCGGAAGTGTGCGGTGGCGAGAACGAGGGGACGACAGCAAGGTCACGGTCGCAAGTGGCGCGGCCGAGCCGACCCGCCGCAGCGCTCACCTGGGCCGCGAGCAGCAGCAGGGCCGCGGCCAGCCGCGCCGCCGCCATGTCCACCGGTTCCACCGCAGCTCTAGGCGGAAGGTTTCCCGGCAACGCCTTCGGGGCCGCGCGACGCGCAGGCGCCGAACCTGCGCGTGCGCGGACTGTCCCCTCGCGGTAAGGGGTGGCGCGGCGCCTGTGCAGAGCGGCGCGCGGCGGCAAAGATGGCGGTGAGCGTAGCTGGATCGCGGGGGATAGCAGGGATCCGTGCACGAGGGATTGTGGAAGCGAGAGCCGGGAACTCAGGAGGACCGATGAGAGGGCGACAAGGACGCGGAGGGATGGGGATTACGGGCGACATGGGAATAACAGACCGAGCGTCGTGGGGATGCTGACGAGGGACATGGTGGGGATAACAGGCTGGGCGATATGTGGATGCAGACGTGGGAGGACTTGGGGATAGAGATAAAGATGCAGACTCAGGGATGTGGAATTCAGGTAGGGGAAATGGGACGTGGAAATGAGGATGCATACGGGATTATGGAAGCTGTGGGGTGGTGGAAAGGAAGCCCTGGGTGCCAGGTCCAGGCAACAGAGATGTGGGAAGACTGCGCCTCACTCTTGAACCCCGCCACTCTCCAGCAGGACAAAGAGAAAAAGAAGAAAGAAAGCATCTTGGACTTGTCTAAGTACATTGACAAGACCATCCGAGTGAAGTTCCAGGGTGGCCGGGAAGGTGAGTAGGTACAGCAGGCCCCTAAGACAGAATCAGGGTGTTGGCAAGCAAGGGAAGCCACACAGGGCAGACATTTTAACTCTTAACAAGGACTAAGCTTGGGCCATCCTGTAACATTGAGAGGTACCAGTCTGCCCCAATTGCGGGTTGGGAAACTGTCTCAGGGAAAGAGCCAGGTGGGGTAGCACCCAGAACATCATTGGTGATCCTTGTAGAAAGAGGATGGAGTCCCTCCAAGAGCCTGGAGGTAGCAGGGACCCAAGAGGTTTCCAGTAGCAGGGGCATTGAAAGTTCCAGGCCAGTCTGAGCTGTGTAGCAAGGCCCCGTCTTACTGAAAATCAACTGGGTCGGAGGCTGTAGCTGAGCAGGTAGAGAGAGCACTGCCATAGTTGCCGTGGCACCAGGTGTGGTTGTGCAAGCCCTACTATTCCAACGCTAGGGAGTAAAGGGAGTTCAGGCTGTTTTTAGGCTACCCTGCGCAAATGAGACCCCCCCCCTCAAAAAAAATGAAATGAATAAATACTGACACTTGACCCACCATGAACTCACTGAAAAGGGTTGGAGTCACAGTCACCAGGCCACCACACAGGGTTCTGTAGTGGCAGCTGCCTTTGAAGTGTCCCTATGCCTGGGTCTGCAGTGGAGGACAGTGACAGCATCCTTCCCCATCTCTCTCCTCCCCATACGTCTCAAGCCAGCGGGATCCTGAAAGGGTTTGACCCACTGCTCAACCTGGTGCTGGACGGAACCATCGAGTACATGCGAGGTGAGTTGCTGTGGTTGCTGCAGGGATGCCACCAAGCCCTGCTCCTACCCCACACCTGTGGGATCACATTGCAGCAGGTGGTGACCTAGGTTTTCAGTCCCTCCCTGACCACCAGAGAGGTCACAAGCCTGCCATGATGGCCCCAGGCTTGAGACTTCAGCTCATTCCCATCAGCCGTCCTCTGGACTGTTAGCCTGTGTCAGTGGCTCCAGGGCCCATAAGATCTCCACTTTCTCCAGAACAATGGCTGCAGTGCTCGCAGAGTGCCCCCTCCCCAGCACCCATGACACTTTCTACCTGCGGTCTCCACCTCCTGTTCATACCCTCCCGGGTATTTGCGTCCTCTGCAGAGCACCCCTTGGTGTTCATGGGGTGATCATCTACCCTTTAGGGTTCTTGTAGAATTCCAGGTGTCCATGTCCACAGTGAGCTCTGAGAGCCAAGCGCCCAGGTACTGTCTGTCCCTAAAGAGAGCTGTGTGAGACGGGATGGCCCCTCTGAGGTCCTGGTTGTGGCGTAGTAGGTGAAAGGACACCCCTTCAGTTCCTCTTGCATGTCACCCCCCCCCCAGACCCCGATGACCAGTACAAGCTGACGGAGGACACACGGCAGCTGGGGCTTGTGGTGTGCCGCGGCACCTCGGTGGTGCTTATCTGCCCACAGGACGGCATGGAGGCCATCCCCAACCCATTCGTGCAGCAGCAGGATGCTTAGCAGGTGGGGGCAGCCTCACCCTGGGGCCCTCCCTTCTCTGTGAACTTCCATTTGGTGTTTTGGTTTCTGTTTTTCTATTTTGTTTTGTTTTTTAATAAAATTGCTGACTTGAGCATCCACGTCTCCTACCCCTTCCGCTTTGTCACTTTGGTCTTCTGAGAAGCCAGGGGCCGGGCGGAGGACCCTGTACAGGGCAGAACACAGCACAACCCAAGACCAGCTAAGGGACTGGAGAAGCCTGGGTGTCTGAGGTCACCTCCGCCAGGCCAGCCTCATCTCACAGCCTCTTCTGATCCTTCCCCGCCCAGGGCGACAGAGGACCTGACACAGGAGGCTCATGGGGAGATGGAGGAGCAGCTGCTGAGCTCAGTGGCTGGCAGCGAGCTCAGGGCCCTGGAAAGGACCAGGGCAGGGCTGGCCTCAGGCAGGCCAGCAGACTGCCCTGCAGCTGGCATAAGGCAACCATAAATTAGCCCCTCAGCCCTCCTAGTCCCTTTTCATCACCCGAGCTGGAGCCCACGTCACAGTCCCCAGAGACAATCAGCCATTCTTAAGTTTGGGGAGCCCAGGCAGCAGAGGCCAGAGTCAGCCATGGTCCCACTTCTCAGTGGTAAAAACAAGGCAGCCAGCCCTGCTTAGTGCCTCTGGAAGCCGTGAAGGAAATTACATCAGTGCTGCTGGCCCTCCCCTAAGCTTCCCTAAAGTCAGCAAGTCTTGTCCCTGACACCCCTCAAAACAGCCACCTGTGCTCCACATGGCACTGGGGAGAGGAAGCCCACTCCCCCCACCCCTGCCGAGCTGTAGTCTTGAGAGAATGTGGACCAGCAGCCCTTCCTGGCCACAGACAGCCCTGTGTGCTGGCCCTGGAGTTAGCACTCAAAAACTGACATGCGATCAGTCACTTCACCTGAGAGCTGACTGGGCTGCCCCTCAGAGGCCGATCTGCACAAAGTGGGGTGTCCCCCACGAGTTTCCAGGCTACTTTCCGTTACAGACCTCATCCTGCAAGTACCTGTGTCCTGACTGCCCTACACCACAGAAGTATGGTAGACTTCATGCCGGAAACAGTCTAGCTGGCAGAGGAACTCAGAGAGTCTCCTGCTGCCGGAGGGCCTGTAAGCGGGGGCCCTGGATGTGTAAACCGCCTGGCGGGTCGTGTAAACCGCCTGGCGGGTCACTCGGTCTAGGGTTGTAACCCGCCTGGCTGATCCAGGATCCCGGAGAGGCGCTATCTGGAAGATATGGGCGGGAGAAAAGAAGGAGGCCAAACAGATTTGTTGAAGCCTCCGTTTATTAGAGTCATGGTTACAGCTTATATAGGATGAGGAATTTGGGGGGCAGGGGCATGGGCTCTTACCGCGTGGTCCACGCTGGTCACATAGGCCAGAAGGTTACAATCGGTCAGGTCACGATTCCTCGATTCCCGGCCAGGAGTTCACAAGTTGACACACCTAGTTCTCTAGATAGTTTGGAATGTGAGGTGGGTTCCCCTAACAGATAGCTCTCTATTAACAGATAATTTGGGTGTGGGATAGGCTCTGCCAGTAAAACAGTTCTAATTATTGTTAGGGGTGTGTGGAGTTCTCTACTAACTCCTCAGGGCAATGGCTCCTGACATAGATGGGGGGGGGGGGAGGCTGGCCTAGCACCTGTTGCCTGGAGACAGGGAAGCGGGAGGCTACCTCCTGGGGGGGGGCAGCAAGGCTAAGGCATGGAGAGGTGGTCCATACCTATTAGTCCTGCCCACACTTCGAAGTCCCGCCCCACCTGATGGCCCTGCCCACATCTATGAACAAGACTCCTCAACTGCACAAAAACAGAGCCAGTGAGAGGGAGGGGCCAGGAAAGGCCCTTGCCTACAAGCCCTGTGATCTCAGCTTGGTCCCCAGAACCTCCAGAGGGAGAAAATGACTGCAAGTTGCCCTCTGACCTCCAGACACACACCATGGCACTTGTCCCCACATACCAGGTGGTGGTGGCGCAGGCTTTTAATCTCAGCACTCAGGAGACAGAAGCAGGAGGTTCTCTGTGAGTTTAAGGCTAGGTCAGGCTTTAAAGCTACACAGAGAAACCCTGTCTGGGAAAAAAAAAAAAAAAAAAAAAAGACAGAAGAGAAACACAGTAGACAGCCTAGGTGAGATTTTCCACACACTCACCTGAAATAACAAGGGGCTTCATGTTACTATGTTTGGGAATGTTTGTTACACAGTGTAACATCACAGAAACTTGCTGACACAGCCCTGGAACAATTGCAGAGTGAAGACTCACATACACAGTATGTTTTGAAGAATCCTATATGTGTTGAGTATTTTGATTTTTTTGTTTGTTTTGTTTTTTTGAGACAGGGTTTCTCTGTGTTGCCCTGCCTATCCTGGAACTCACTCTGTAGTCCAGGCTGATCTAGACTCACAGAGAATCACCTGCCTCTGCCTCCTGAGTGCTGGGATCAAAGGTGTAAGCCACCGCCGCCCTGATTTTTATTTTAAACGCTGTTTTGCATCTGGGTGACTGTGCGACTGTCACAAAGTCAAAAGGCTGACTATGTCCGTAGAGTCCCTTGCCACCTTAGCATGGGAGAAAATGGTCTAAGAATTTGGGGAGTCAAATCCAACTCTGGGTGTTTTAATATTTTAAAAAGGAGAAATTTAATATTTAATGTTTTCCCTTAATATTACACTGAAGATTTAATATTTCACTAGGAGTCAGAGGGGAGAAAGGCAGACATGGACGGGGAGAGACGGAACTTTAGAGAAATGAAGAGGTTGAGGGGGCGGGGACAGCAGGAGGAACCAGGCCACCAGCCACCCTGACACAGGATCCCTGCCTCCAGCCCCTCCACCGCCGCTTGCCATGCCGACCTCACCCCGGCCCAGATCCCGCGCTTCCAGCTTCCCAGCCTGGGCCAGCGCAGCCCTGGGGGCTGCGGCCGGGGGCTCCGGCCATCGGCGCAGGGCCCCGGCCTGTTGCATGTGCACCTAAGCCTTCGCGGAGAGGCCGCTGTTGTTCCAGTGTAACTGTCTCCTCCCAGCCGGGTCTGTTTCCCATCGGTAGCTGGGCTCGGGCCGGTTTCGCCCATAGCACGGCCTTCCGATTGCATGGACGCCTGTAACCGGAACTGCTGTGTGCGTGGCACCTCCGTGTGCCTCCGGCGGTCAGCTCCATGATTTACCATGGGTGCTAGGCCATCCAAGGCTATACCCCCTACTTCCCCTCTCGGTCAGCTCCTGGAATCTCTAAAGCCTCATGCTTTGATTCCCTCCATCAAATTGAACAAGCTCACGCGTCCCTCTCTATCCTCCCTCTCCTCTGTGGCATCGAGCCCTTTTCTAACCACCCCATCCTCATGGTGCCACGATGGGAGAGGCCTGGTGCTGTAGCTGGAAGGCAGGGTGCTTGCCTACCTGCCTCTGGCTCCGGGGTCCATTCCTGTCCCCACAAAAACAGCCTGTGCTGGTGCAGTCCTGTCCTTGCTGCACTGGGGGCGTGGAGGCAGGAGGATCAGAAGTTCAAGGTTGTCCTTGACTTCAAGGGGATGGGGGGGGGGGTGTCAAGGACGTGGGAACCGGAGAAAAGAATCATCTCTCTAACGTGACAGGTTCATCCCAGACAGCCAGAGGGGGGCCGGGATGGCTCTGCTTAGAGCGGGACATTTAGTCACACAGTCCCAACCAGCCTGCTCCTGAGACTTCTGCTCTCTGCTCAGACCACTGGACAGATGAGGCCTGAGCCTACCTGACGGAGAGAGGAGGATTCCTACAGGATCGACCCGGGGCTGGTGGCAGCTGGAGAGCCCCGCCCCCCACCCCCACGAAGGGGGTGAGTTCAGACACCCAGGGAATCCAGCCCCACGTCACAGTCTGAAGCTCCCCGGTCTCTCCGCAGCTCTTTCGGGGGGGACCCAGTAACCTGCTCCCCATGGGCTCTCTAGCTGTCCCTATTAGAAAGGAGGAGACCCAGGTCTCTCCCACAATAAAGTCTATAGTCTAGCGGGTGAGCACGCAGACTCTGGTCCCGAATGCTTGCGTGCCTCTAGCCTTTGCTCGTTCCCATTTCCAGCAGGGTTGACCCTGAGCAGCCCAGACACAAATCTTCCAGGCCCGAAGGCCCTGTGGCCACTAACATCCTCATGCAAGGCAGAAACGTGGCTGTGAACCCAAAGGGACAGAGCAGAGAGCAAAGGCAGAAGGAGATGGCTATTGAGTGGATAACTATGGGGTCACAGAGGCAGGGAGTCTGGGTTATATAGCAAATACAAAACACGGGCTGGCCGGATGGCCCAGGGGTTTGTGGCACTTGCTGACAAGCTGGTGGTGTGAGTCCCATCCCAGGACCCACACGGTGAGAGGACAGAACCGACTCGCACAAGTTGTCCTATGATCCGGACATGAGCACGGTGCCAGAAACCAGATCCACAACCACTTGGGGAACTTAGAATCAAAGCCCCAGACAGATCCATACTCCCCCTTCTACCCAGTGCCTCCCTGGCTGCAGCTGTCAAAAATAGGCCTGTGATTCAGCCATACTGTGGGCTACCTCACACCACTCACCCCTACCTCCACCCTCTAAGAGATGCAGAATCTACTCCAACACAAGTGATGTGACATGGTGGGCTGGGGGCGTGGTGAGGATAGAGCCCCGCCCAGAATCCCCAAAGAGGGGCTGGGGGCGTGGTCAGGGTGGAGCCCCGCCTAGAATCTCCAGTGAGGGGCTGGGGCGTGGTCAACATGGAGCCCCGCCTAGAATTCCCCCTGTGAGGGGCTGGGGGCGTGGTCAGGGTGGAGCCCCGCCTAGAATCCCAGTGAGGGCAGGGCTCAGAAGTGAGGACTTAAGTGCTCACTGTGCCAAGACTTGGGTTCATCCCCAGCTCCATAAGCCGCAGAAATCGAATCTATCTGGAAGCTTCCCAGGAACGCATGCCCCCAATTCTTCCAGAAACCAGAGGCCGAAAGAATATTTTCCAACTAGTTTCTGAGGCTGCAGGTCCCACTGGATGAGGATGTGGTGGAGACAGAAGTCAGAGACTACGTCCCCTCCCCACCTGAGCAGACAGCCTTCACTGCTCCAGCAACTGACCCCAGCCCGGTGTGGAGGGATGCGGAAAGGGATGCCCGCGAGCCTGTGGTCCTGGCTCTTCAGATCACAGCAGGTGGAGGTCTGTTGTGATACAGTCTCAGGAAAAAAAAAAAAACAAACTTTATTCTCAGGTTGCCAGGCCTAATGAACCCATCCTGGAGTCCCAGTGAAGCAGGAGGATGACAAGCTGCAGGCTGGTTTGAGCTGCATAGATAGATCCTGTCCAAACATGGGTAGTATTAAGAATCTGTCCTTGCCACCCAGCCTGATGGACTGAGTTCTGCCCTGGGACTCTCACAAGTTGACCTCTGACCTCTGCATGTGCCAAGGGTGCACCACCCATACATAAAATAAATGTGTGAGGGCTGGAGAGATGGCTCAGCAATTAAGAGCACTGGCTGCTCTTCCAGAGGTCCTGAGTTCAATTCCCAGAACCTACATGGTGGATCACAACCATCTGTAATGAGATCTGGTGCCCTCTTCTGGTCTAAAGGCAGACATAAATGCAGAACACTATATAAAATAAACAAATCTTAAGAAAAATATCTTTTTTATTAAAAAAGAGCCAGTTATGTTTTAATTTTTTTAAATGTATGAAATATAGTTTTTAAAAACCTGATGCTGGTCGGTGGTGGCGCTCGCCTTTAATCCCGGCACTCTGGAGGCAGAGGCAGGCGGATCTCTGTGAGTTCTTAGGCCAGTCTGGTCTACAGAGCGAGTTTCAGGACAGCCAGGAATACACAGTGAAACCCCGTCACAAAAAGAAAGTGTGTGTGTGCGTGTGTGTGTGTGTGTGTCCCAGCTTTTGAATTCTGGGGATTTGAACTCAGGTCCTCATACTTGAGAGCAGGCATCTTTACCTGCTGAGCTATCCGGTGGCCCTAGAGACCACTTCTTTTCTTTTCTTTGTATATAAGGGTGTGCTACCTACATGTCTGTCTGCGTAGGTCAGACAGCAGTGTCGGGTCCCTGTAGTGGACAGTTATGAGCCGCCCTGTAGGTGCTGGGAACTGAACCTGGGGCCCCTGTGGGAGCAGTCAGTACTCTAAACACTTGGCAGTCCCTCTAGAGCCAAGAGGCCACCTTCTTTCTTCCTTCTGTTCTTTCTTTTGTGCTTTGAGACAGGGTCCCTAGGTAGTCCTGGCTGACCTGGAAGAGGCCATTTTTAGATGATTTCTAGTCCCCTCTGGGAGCAGGAGTCCCCTTACCGAGGGGTACGACGACAGATGCTCCCACAATCCTGGGCAAGCTGGACTGAAATCCCCTCTGCTTAGAACTCCCCTTAGGGAGTGTCTGTGCCTTTTCCGATGTCACCACCTCCTGTAAGTGTCCAAACATTTGTTGTTGATCACTGGCAGCCACGTAAACACCACATGTGCTCAAGACCGCAGGGACCGTTAATGTGACTCACAATCTGCAGACAGAGGTATTAGGGCTCAGAGAGGGTTGTCACTGGCCTGAGGATGCAGAGCAAAGCCTGCCAATCTGGGGTGAGGCTCAAGACACCTGGAACCCATGACTTCACATGTTAGTAATTGACAAGTCACCCTCTAGTTACCAGGGAGGCCCCTGGTCAGGAGTTGGGGGTATATCTGCCCTCACCTGCTTGGAAGGTGCCACACAACTGTGTCAGTCATAATCCAGAAAGGAAGAGACCTGAGGCATTTATTTCAAAATGCATTGCTGGCCAGGCGATGGTGGCGTATGGCTTTAATCCCAGCACTCGGGAGGAAGAGGCAGGCGGATCTCTGTGAGTTCGAGGCCAGCCTGGTCTACAGAGCTAGCTCCAGGACAGGCACCAAAGCTACAGAGAAACCCTGTCTCGAAAAACAAAAACAAACAAACAAAAAATCAAACTGCATTGTTGTGCTTCGGGGTTCCCACCAAGTTCATCATGGGATCCCCACGCTGTCCCCGGGCCACACTGAACTGAGCATTCCGCCCCTCCCAGGCAGTCACTCACACTCCTAGCCACACCTACGCTCCTCCCTCAGCAGGAGCCACACTTGCCACCCAGGTGGCCCATCTCCATGGCAACGTCCCATCCACAGGTGGTCGTAACCTTGGAAACCAGGTGCTCACCGGCCCACTGCTTGGAAGGCTGTGACCCTCCTGCGGCTCTCCCACACAGCCTCCCATCAGAGGCGGCTGTGAGGAGTTGTGGGGTGGGGATGGAGGAACCTGCAGGGACGCCAAGCTCAGAGAGGGCAGCGGACTGCCCCTCAGCACCACAGGCCTCACACATATCTGGTACCCATTAAGCATCAGCGGCATCCGTGGCTCAAGAGCGTCTCTGTCCTCAGCCGACTCCTACATGGGGCAGAGGGTGACACACTGGCTGGGGATGAGGGCAGAGAATGCCCTGGTCTCCGGAAACCCCCCACTCTCTCCTCAGACCACCCCATCCAGTTCTCAGCCACCTATGTCGCTAGTTCAAGACGAGCCTATTGGCTGCTGGGTGCATGCACGGAGGCCGCGCTGCAGGGTGAAGGGGGAAGAGCAGACATAAATAGGAGGAATGAGTAAATTATAGGATATCTTAGGAAATTGCAGGGAGGCTGAGAACGGGGACAGAAGGCAGCCGGGTGGGGGTGTGAGTCAGGAGGAAGCAGGGGTGGGCGGGGCAGACAGCTGAGGAAGGCTCTGGGCTGGGCAGGAGATCAGCACGTGCAAAGGTCCTGAGCTGGGAACCGGTCCTGTCTGCCGAGAGCTGGCCCTGCTTCCTCTCCACTCCAGAGCAATAAAAGGAAGCTGGATAGAGCCCCCCAGCACCCTGGGGTCCCCCAGTCATTAGAGGTCTACAGCACTAGACACGGGAGCTTCCAGATCCTCAGATTTGAGTGCTAACCCTGGACTCGGACAAGCGGGAAGGAGGTTGAATGGGGCCCAGGCAGTTCACATGACCTTGAGCCCACATGGATCCACGTGTGGCTTTGGCACTAGCTCTCCCCACCCGTGGAAAGTCCAGTATATCATGTAGTTTTGTACACAGTAGACACTCAACAAATCCCTCCCCTAGGAGTCCCCCGAATCAGGTTATCACAACCATGGGGACTCAGAGTACATCAGTACACAAAACAGGGCAGACCTGATGTGGAGTTGGGGCCTAAATCCAAAAATATTGGGGTGTCACTTTTTTTCTAGACCTTTGCATGGATTGGAAGAGAGCTTCTCACCGGTGGCTTGGGGGGGGGGGGCTGGTCCATGGTCTCCCAGGATGCAGTTTCTGGGCCTCAGGCCAAGATGACAGTCTGGGAAAGGATCCTGCTGGAGTCACAGGTGGCCAACGCCAGGCTGCCACTAACTGCTGGAGGACACAGAGGGCAGACAAGATGGGGGTTGGGGCAGACATGCACTCTGGTTCCCTCAGGTCACCCCTCACTGGGGACAAAGGCAGCTGAGTCAGAAGCAGCCAGCCCCTCCTCAGGATGGATGCCCACTGGGCCTCTGCTCTGGGGGACTGTCAGCCTCCTTCTCTCCTGTCACACGGGGGGGGGGGGGAGCCCTGGTTCCAGCTGACCACTCATCAGGCAGGGACACGCACGCTCTTCACCCCTGTTTTGACAGATTGATCTTTTTTTGTTTGTTTGTTTGTTTGTTTTGTTTTTGTTTTTCGGGACAGGGTTTCTTTGTGGCTTTGGAGCTAGTCCTGCAACTAGCTCTGTAGACCAGGCTGGTCTCGAACTCACAGAGATCCGCCTGCCTCTGCCTCCTGAGTGCTGGGATTAAAGGTGTGTGTCACCACCGCCCCTGCAGATTGATTTTATTTTTAACTCTGCATGTGTACATACAGAAATGCACAGACCAGAAGGGGGCGTCGGGTTCCTGGAGCTGGAATTACAGCTGGTGGTGAGCTTCAATGCTGGTGCTGGGAATAAAAGCCCTGTCCTCTGAGAGAGCAGCCAGGGCTCTAACTTCTGTGCTCTCTCTCTGACTCTCCCTCTTATCTCGGGGTTCTCTTCATGTTCCCCTGTGTGTGCGTCCATCTACCTACACCAGGCTGTGCGTGCTGAGGTGCACAGCGCGGTCCCAGGCGCAGGGAAAGGCTCCGGAAAGAAGGGGAGATGGTGGCAGCCATAGCTCTGAGTAGCATGTGGAAGAAGGCGGGCAGGAGCGCAGTGGGGAGCTATGACAGGCTCTGAAACTCCCTGGGGGACAAGGCCACTCAGGGATGAGGCTTGACAAATCGGTCAGGTGTGTAGTGCAGTGCAGATGGTGGAGGACTGGTCTGACAGGGAGGGTATAGCGGAGGAGTTGGCGGTTTCTAGAAGGTTCCAGCGGGACAACTTGCCTTATCTGGGGAGCCCCCAAGCATTTCCGGGAACTCAGTGTCTGCGGAGGCCCCTAGGACCAGGAGGTGCCAGGCACGCAGAGTGCCCGGGGGCTGCGTCCCCATCTGCCCCCGACCTGCTCCAACACGTGTCGCGCGCGCCCTTTGCAGTTCGCGCGCGCCCTAGCCATGCGCACGGGGATGCGCGGCGGGAACGCGCCCGGCAGTGCCCGGGAGGCGGCGGTGGCGGCGGCGGCTGCGGTGGCGGCGGTAGCGGCTGCTCGTGGCTGCTCAGCGCGGCCCCCGCGCCCTGTCCGAGGCGGAGCCGCCCAGGTGAGTGGCATCACTGCAGCCCGGAGACCCCCCTCTCCGGACTCCCCTCGCATGCTCCTCTTCAGCCGCTCTGTGCCCCCGGGAAACTTCGGGGTTGTCCCCGCCTCCGGGAATGCAGTCTAGGGGATTGAGGGGCGCATCTCTGGGAGCACCCTGGGGGACGCGGAACGGAGATGCGCACTGCGGCAGGGGGACACCCGGGATGGAGTCAAGGCTCGGCGCCCTGCAATCCCCCGCCAGCCAATGCAGGGTGAGGCGCGCATTGGGGGGTCTACACGCGTGACTCGCGCATATTTGAGGTCTCCGTGTAGAGGAACTGGGATGCTAGGCAGACCCCGGCACATACACTCTGCAGGCCTGTGTCCCAGTAGCAGCCACGGTGGTGGGGGCGTCCGTCCATCCCATCTCAGAGGCCAGGCCTGGTGTCTCCTGGGTCCTCGGGCCTGGCCAGGGAGGCCACTGGGCCCCATTCAACAAGTTGGGAGACGCAGAGCTTGGGTTCCAGTTGGACACAGGTGCATGTTCCCACTCCATCTCACAAGTGAGGGCTCCCAACGCCAGAGTCCCCGAGACACAGGTGTCCCTCCTCCCAGTGGGGAGAACTCAGAACTTGGGGGTCTGATGCATTTGGGAACCTCTATTGGTGCCAGGCAGCTTCTTGTGTGTGTGTGTGGGGGGGGGCTCAGAGCCCAGGCCAGGCCTGAGACCACCCCCCCCCTTATTTCCAGTGGCACTGGGGAGGGGACATCCAGTGCCTGCCAGTTAATGACTGGGATGGGGTGATTGGGATTGGAACCTGGTGGGGATTTTTAGCAAGAACAGATCTGTCAGAGCGAAGGCAACCTGAGAGGGCTCCTTGGAGGAAGCATCCAGCCCGCAAAGGCAGGTGTTAAGGGGTGAAGGACAGAAGGCAGGGCGGCTCCACTGGGAACGGAGGGTTTCAAAAGCTCGGTCCTGGTCCCTCTGAGCTGTAGCAGCTGTTTGGATGGTCTCAGGTGACCCCATGGGTGACCCCTCCACACAGACTCTCAATGAGGTGTGGAAAGTGGAAGAAGGCACCCAAAATGGGGTGGGGGACCCAGTGGGGGCCCCCTTAGCCTCCTAATTGCTCTTCTGTCCCTTGTCCCTTCCTACAATTGATACTCTATGTGGGCAACCACTTACCCCCAGGATCAAGCACTATGATGGGTGTCATCAGCTCCCACCCATGCAGCACGCATGCGCGGCCGGCCTCAGTGTTTCCATCTGTAGAGTGGGGGTGGCCGTTGCCATCCACCCCCAGATGCAGCCAGGCTGTGATCGCTCCTCCAAGGGTGGGAGCACACAAGGTCCCAAACCCGAGGTTTTTGTGCCTCTACCCACAGGGCTGTCACTCCCAGGCACTCGTGAGTCACAAGCGACTCACCAGGTAGGAAGGTTTTTTAGCAGAACTTCCCAGCAAGCTTCAGAATGAGGGGTGGGCAGCCCGGGCAAGCCGCCTACCACCTCTCCGGTCAATCTTGAGAACACCAAGGAGTCGGCTTTAGTAAAATCAGAGCTGGCTCAGGTGACCCCCGGTGACCTCCCCGCTCCCCAAATGCTGCCGTTTCTGCTTTCAGGGCAAGCGGTGAGCAGATACAGTATATACCGGGGGCTCAAGTGTTTGCCAGTCTAGAAGCTTCCTCAACTTTTCTGCTGCGGCGGGTGGTGGGGAGTCCACTCCTCCCCTCAGGCACAGGCTACTAAAGAAATTGGGTCAGGAGGCCCCCCTGCCCCCCAAAATGGCAGATGGGAGGTTAATTAGGGCTTTAATGAATTGTCATGGATTAAAAGCCCCAGGAGGACCTAGATCTAGGACGGGAGAATGAACCAGCCCTGGAGGAGGGGGGCTGGGAGAGTGTCCCCAAAAATGCACTCAGAGAGGAGGGTGCTCATAGGAGTGTACCAAGCCTGTCCTCACCCCACTTTACTCTATACTCTTACTGTGCTGAGGGGACCCAGGGGTGACAGACAGGAGCCTGTCTCCCCCCAGCACGCAGCTTCATTCTTTTCCAGGATGGCCTCAGTGTCCTGTGGCCGAAGAGGGGACAAGGGACCCCGGATTCCCAGTACACCTTGTCTTCTCTTGGACCGAACACTTCTTTGTCAAATTCCCTCAAAATCTGTAGCCAGAGAGAGTTGGGAGGGGTGGCAGGAGAGGCCTCTGTTTCCCAGACTGCTTCTGGGGGCCCCCACAGCATGGCTCAGATAGATGTCAGACCCCAGGGCGGGCAGTTGAGAGTCTCCATCCTCCAGCAACGGGAAACTCCCTGGCTGCCAGGCAGTCACATTCCAGCCCTCCTCCAAACCACGGTGACCCTGGGTGAGAACCCCCCAGGCTGCTGGTGACCCCTGGAATCCCCCAGGCTACTGGAGGAAGCCACCACCTGCCTCAGGGACACACGTCCTCCTCAGACCCAGAAATCACTGAGGCCCTTTCTTCCCTCCGCCAGCCAGTGTCACAGAAATCTTCCTGTTTTCCTGCCTGCCTCCTCTGACTATCTCGAGGTGACACCGGGTCACAGTGGATTCAGGACAGTCCCATAGGCAGGGCCCTGCTCCACAGGAGGTGACCCATCCTAGGCCCAGGATGGTCCTATTTCCATAGATTGAGGGCAACCACTAAATGCTTGCTGAACGAGGGAGTGAGGGAGATCTTCTCCTAACCTAGGCAGCACCTGGTGGAAACTTCTAGAAGAAGCCAGCCCAGGGGTTCTGCTTGGTCTTCAGGAAAATAGGGAACTGAGGCTCAAGGGAGACGAACAGGGATGTGGCTGAGCAGATCTCTGTATGTGCACATATGTGAACACACGTGTGGCAGTCAGGGACTCTGAGCTGGTACTTCCGACCATGCCTTCTCTTGCTCTGTATTCCTTGGCTCCCTATCGCCAGGAATGTTCCTCAGTCCACCTGGGCACTGGCACGGGGTGGCCCGATCTCACGGCGCTGCCCTTCCCTTCACTGGCCCTGCAGTCTCCCTCCACTCCCCTCCTTCAGGAAGGTTCTCCAAACCTTCAGCTTATTTACTTACATTTTTTCTGTCCGTTCATCCTCAGCGAGCGACAGGGACAGGACACAGTCGACCATCAAGTGTGGGACTCCGTGATAGGGAGTGTTCAGAACGGGGGAATTCGGAGACAGGACAAAGATTTGTGGGTACCCAGGGACTGAAGAAGGGAAAGGGGTGATGGAGGTTGAGTTGGAGGCGTTTTTAGATGTACCGAGAGGCCCTGGGAGTCCACTGGAAACCATGGGCCTTCAGCTCAGGGGTGACAGGAGCCAAGGATTAGAAGGACGGTGATTGGGCAGGCTCGACCCCTTGCAGCCCGCCCAGGCTCCCAGGTCCAGCCAAGACTGCAGTGGTGGCTTCTCATGCATATTAATGAGTCGTGTCCTTGAAGCCTTAGGTAGGGCTCTTCCTTGGGGGGCGGGGGTGGGTATCCACGTGGGGCTTGTCAGACCCTAAAGCCCCATGAGGGCTATCTCAAGGGTTCTACCATGGGGTAGGAGTGAGAGAGGCCAGAAGGTTCCAGATTCTGGTACAGGAGGCAGTTGTCTGCTCCTATTGTCTGGTGCAGAGCCTCAGAGGGGCCTTTGGGGACAAAACTGTCTTTTTGTTGATCTTTTTTTTTTTAAATATTTATTTATTATGTATACAATATTCTGTCTGTGTGTATGCCTGCAGGCCAGCAGAGGGCACCAGACCTCATTACAGATGGTTGTGAGCCACTATGTGGTTGCTGGGAATCGAACTCAGGACCTTTGGAAGAGCAGGCAATGCTCTTAACCTCTGAGCCAGCCCTTTTGTTGATCCTTTATTTTTGCAGTGTTAGGAATGAAACCCTGGATCTCTCACGTGCTAGACCAGTGCCCCACCCCGACCACGCCCCAGACCCTCACTGGGGATTCTAGGCGGGGCTGCACCCTGACCACGCCCCCAGCCCCCTCACTGGGGATTCTAGGCAGGGCTCCACCCCAGGCACGCCCCCAGCTCCACACTGGGGATTCTAGGGGGAGCTCCACCCTGAGTCACACTCTAGTCCTATTTTCCTATTTTACATTTTGGATTTTCTTTTCTTTTCTTTTTTTTTTTTTGTTTTTGTTTTTCGAGACAGGGTTTCTCTGTGGCTTTGGAGCCTGTCCTGGAACTAGCTCTGTAGACCAGGCTGGTCTCGAACGAGACAGGGTTTCTCCATAGCTTTTTTTGGTTCTTGTTCTGGAACTAGCTCTTGTAGACCAGGCTGGCCTCGAACTCACAGAGATCCGCCTGCCTCTGCCTCCAGAGTGCTGGGATTAAAGGCGTGCACCACCACTGCCGGCTATTTTACATTTTTGATTTGTTTGTTTGCCTGTTTGTTTTTTGAGACAGGGTTTTCCTTTTTTTTTAACATTTTTATTGATTTTTATTGAGCTCTACATTTTTCTCTGCTCTCCTCCCTGCCTCTCCCCTCCCCTTCAGCCCTCTCCCAAAATCCCCATGCTCCCAATTTATTCAAGAGATCTTGTCTTTTTCTACTTCCCATGTAGATTAGATCTATGTATGTCCTCTTCTGGTTGAGACAGTTTTTTTTTTTTTTTTTCATATAGCTCTGGCTGTGTTGGAACTCATTCTATAGGCCAGGTTGGCCTCAAACCCACAGAGATCTTCCTGCCTCTGCCTCCCAAGTGCTGGGGTTAAAGGAATGCACCATCACGCTCGGCTAATTTTTCCCCAGATTTGTTTATTTTATATGTACAGTATGTTGCCTGTATGATGTCTGAATCGCTTGTGCGCAGTGTTGCAGGAAACCCGAAGAGAGTCGGATCCCCTGGGAACAGAGTTACAGGGGGTTGTGAGCCCCTACATGGGTGCTGGGACCCAAACTCGGCGAGCATCTGGAACTAATCACTGAGCCATCTCTCTAGCCCTGTCCCCCTTTTTTATTTTGAGAGAGGGTTGCACTAGATTACACCTTGTACTGAAATTCACAATCCTCCTGCCTCAGCTTTTGGGGCACTGGGATAACTGCTCCCAGTAGGCTTGGGATATCTTTTATTTTTAGTTTTCTGACAGAGCTGCCAGCACCTGGTGGGGTGTCTGGCAGTTGAGCAAAGCACTCCCTTTTCTGCCTGTACTGCCAAGCATGAGACTGGGGTGCCAGGCGCCAGTCTGGGAGATACCAGAGACTGGCCTCTGTCCCTGGAGTGGGATTGAGGGGAGCCCGGGTGACGCCCACAGGAGGGCAAAAGATGACCACTGAGCCAGTCCTACTGCCTCACTCTTGCCAGCACTAGAGACAGAGTCAGGATTGCTGACAGTCTGAGGCCTGCCGGGGCTCAAGTGGCTCAGAATCCACAGCCAGAACAAAAACACCACATAGTAGTTTAGTCCTCAGAAGGTGAGGGACACTCCAAGTGGAACCAGGACCTGGAGCAGGCGGTTTTGTGGTGGCCCTCCCCAAGGCCACAAAATAGCTCAGGACCCCAAGACCAAGCTCTCAGCACAAAGGAGATTCATTTTCCCCAGAGGGACAGAGGACAAGAGATGAAGGAAGGGACATTTGTCCCTGAGGGACAAAGGGCTGCCGCCTCTGGATAGAGGGGAGACAGGCAAATGGCGGTTTATAAAGGGAAAGGGGAAACCCCGCGTTAGGATGAGGTGGTCTGTACTGACTGGGTGTGCTAACTAGGTGAGAGGGGAGGGTGACTGCTCGCTGGCCCTTCTCCTCAGCCTCAGGGAGGGGGACAGACTTTGGGAGCTACTTTGGGAACTTAATCTAAGGGTTTAGCAAGGCAGAGGGGATGGAGGAAGGGCAAGGCCTGCCAGAGCCATGCTCCCCCTGCTCTGGAGGGCTAGTGAATCTTCAGAGGAGAAGAGAGGGAACAGAGAAACCAGCCCATCCAATGGCATCCTCCGTGTACCTCAAAACCACTGCCCAGTGCCCCAGACCCCAGGGACCTCAGCCCAGAGGCCCAGGACCTGGAGCCGCTCTGGAATTCCAATTCCCCAGTGTCATCAGGGACCAGGGATTGGAGCCTTCGGCCCCAGCAGTAGGTTCAGGATTTCAGAGGCTCAGAGGGGTTTCCTCTTGCCTGGGGCAGCCAGCATCCTCACTGGAGAGTGAGATGGGAAGGGGCTTTCGAAACCTGCAATTCCCTCTTACCTCCGCAAACATCCAGAAAGGACAGTAAGTTCCTACAGGCACTGAGTAATAAGGGGCAGGGTCCAGGCTGAAGAGCAGACAGTGGCTTCAGACAGCTGCCAGTCACGCGCCCCGCCCCCCACGGCTTCTCTAACACACCCTGCGGAGATGACAGGGCCAGGCCTACAGACAAGGGGAGGTTAGAGTTGAAAAACTAGGTCGTCCTTTGAGTGGCCCCTGCCGGGCTGGCTCAAGAGCCCTGCTGTCCCTGAGCGGTGGAGTAATTATAGAGAGAGAGCCCTCGCCCGTGCCCTGCTCGCCGGCGCCCTGGACGGATTTGGAGGCTGAGCTTTGAGAAGCCAGAAGCAGAGAGGGTGCAGGGGCCATCAGGGATCGCACAGTGAGGCTGTGGTTCAATGGCTGCGACCAGAGACTCCGGACCTGTCAGTCCATGGCATCGTCTATGAGAACTGGAGGTTCTTTATTGAGGACGCAGAAACAACGAGCAATAGGTGCTCAAGACCACCCATATAGACGGCTCCGGGCCACCCTGGGCTACCTGAAGAGGTGACATGCTCGTGGCATAAATCAGATCTGAGCTCAGATCCCCACCACCCTCATGAGAAGCTGGCACAAGGGCACACTTCTGCATCTCAGCGCTGAGAAGCAGGAGATCCTGGGGGCTTGTGGCTGGACCACCTACCTAGTCAGCAGACTTCGGATCCCCTGAGGGACCTTGTCTCAAAACACAAAGTGGAGAATGAATGCCTAGGACTGCATCCCACTCTGGGCTCCACATGTGTGAACACACACCATAGAAAGACAGCTGGAAAGAGAAGGTATGATTTTAGGCAAGGGCTGCACCCAGCCCCTCACTGGGGGATTCTAGGGGGCTCCACCCTGACCACGCCTCCAGCCCCTCACTGGGGGATTCTGGGGGGGGGCTCTCCTTTGCACCTGTGCCTTCCAGTCTCTGTCCTCACAAGCCTGGCATACTCAGTCACCAGGGTTGCCAGTCTGCTCTGTGGAACACTGAGAAGACAGGAAGGCTGGCACAGACTGTGAGGTCTTGCCTGGGGGCTTCAGCTGCTAACATGCTATAAATAGTTGCCTGGCAGATGGGAAACTGTGTTGCAACAGAGGCCAGGAAGCCCCGGTCCAGCTGTCCCTTCCCCACCCTGACCCCTGGGTCTGGGCTACAGTCAGGCTGTCGGGGAAAACCCTGGTCCAGCCTAGGCAGGCCGGACCTACAGGAAGTCTCAGCATCTCACCCACTCTGGCCTGACTCAGGGTTTTTGCCCTGGCCTCTCCCACAGCCACGGGGGTCATCATGAGTGACCAACTAGGTGTCCTCAGAGGGAGATGTCCTCCGTCACAGTTCCAGACTGCAGATAGTCAAACCAGGGTGTCCACTAGGCCTGGCATACTTAGGTCCCCCACCCCAGGCCCTGGGCAAGGTCCTTCCCGTCTCGTCTCCCGTCTCTCTTAGGTTGTCTCTCTTAGGTTCTCAGGCTCAGGTATCAGCCTGCTCCGCTTCATCTTCAAGGTTAGCGTCACCTGCTGGTGAGTTGGAGGCCGACCTGAGCTATAAAGGTGTTTGTTTTAACCTCCTCTACTTGTGCCCGGTGTCGCACGGGGTCCTGCTGAGTGGGCTTGTGGGAGCTGGTCTTTCATTGAGCACAGCGCCCTCAACGGCCCTGCAGGCTGCAGCATATGTCAGAGCCTAGTCCATGGCTGAGTTACATTCAGTGTGGATGGCCCATGCTGTGTTTCTGCTGCTTGGTCGTGGACAGTGGGTATCCGTCTGGAGATCTCGTTGTGCAGTCACAGGTCAGCGTCTCTGGTCATGTCTGGCTGGGATTACAAGTGTCCAGGTGCCATGCATGGATAATAATGTCACACTCCCCCTTCCCATTCCAGGTGTCCTGGACGATGCTGGCGTGGCCCTAGGCCCAGACCCTACACCATGACCTGCTGGCTGCCTATGCTGGGCTTGCAACTGCTACTGTTGCCCACGGCGCCTCCTCTGGCCGCTGGCTGCCCTGCCCGCTGCGAATGCTCCGCATCCACACGCACAGTGGCCTGTGGGCGCCGCCGGCTGACTGCCATCCCCGACGGCATCCCAGCAGAGACACGCCTGCTGGAGCTCAACCGCAACCGCATCCGCTGCCTGAACCCTGGGGACCTGGCCTCGCTGCCCAACCTGGAGGAGCTGGACCTCAACCACAACGTGATTGCACATGTGGAGCCTGGGGCGTTCGCCAACCTGCCCCGGCTGCGCATCCTGCGTCTCCGTGGCAACCAACTGAAGCTTATCCCACCCGGCGTGTTCACGCACCTGGACAGCCTCACGCTGCTGGACCTCAGCGAGAACAAGCTGGTCATCCTGCTGGATTTCAGCTTCCAGGACCTGCGCAGCCTCCAGCGGCTGGAGGTGGGCGACAATGACTTGGTGTTCATCTCCCGCAGGGCCTTCGCGGGTCTGCTGGGGCTGGCCGAGCTCACCTTGGAGCGCTGCAACCTCACGTCGCTGTCCCCTGAGTCGCTGGGCCACCTGCGGGGCCTGGGCGCTCTGCGCCTGCGCCACCTGGCCATTGCCGCCCTGGAGGACCAGAACTTCCAGAAGCTTCCGGGCCTCCTGCATCTGGAGATCGACAACTGGCCGCTGCTGGAGGAGGTGGCCCCGGGCAGCCTTCGTGGGCTGAACCTCACGTCGCTGTCCATCACGCACACCAACATCACGGCCGTACCGGCCGCCGCGCTGCGACAGCAGGCCCACCTCACGTGCCTCAACCTGTCGCACAACCCCATCAGCACGGTGCCGCGGGGCTCCTTCCGGGACCTGGTGCGCCTGCGCGAGCTGCACCTAGCCGGGGCCCTGCTGGCCGTCATCGAGCCGCAGGCCTTCGTGGGGCTGCGACAGATCCGCCTGCTCAACCTCTCGGACAACCTGCTGTCCACGCTGGAGGAGAACACGTTCCACTCCGTGAACACGCTCGAGACGCTGCGCGTGGACGGCAACCCGCTGGCCTGTGACTGTCGCCTGCTGTGGATTGTGCAGAGGCGGAAGACCCTGAACTTCGACGGCAGGCTCCCCGCCTGCGCCACCCCTGCTGAGGTGCGTGGCGATGCCCTGCACAACCTCCCTGATTCCGTGCTCTTCGAGTACTTCGTGTGTCGCAAGCCCAAGATCCGGGAGAGGCGGCTGCAGCACGTAATGGCCACCGAGGGAGACGACGTGCGCTTCCTGTGCCGGGCCGAGGGAGAGCCCATGCCCACCGTGGCCTGGGTGACGCCCCAGCATCACACGGTGACGGCCGCCAGCCGGGGCCGCACACGCGTGCTGCCTGGGGGCACGCTGGCAGTCGTGGACACGAGGCCCCAAGACAGTGGCACCTACACGTGCGTGGCCAGCAACGCCGGAGGCAATGACACGTATTTCGCCACCTTGACCGTCCAGCCGGCCGCCAACCGGACCCAGGGCAATGGGCTCAATGAAACCCAGGTGGGCGTCCGGTTCCCGCTGGACCTCACCACCATCCTGGTGTCCACCGCCATGGGGTGCATCACCTTCCTGGGCGTGGTCCTCTTCTGCTTCCTGCTGCTTTTTGTGTGGAGCCGCGGCCGAGGGCAGCACAAGAATAACTTCTCCGTGGAATATTCCTTCCGTAAGGTGGACGGTCCAGCAGCCGCGACCGGCCAGGGCGGCGCACGCAAGTTCAACATGAAGATGATCTGAGTCGGCCCCACGGTGGGCTGGTGGGGACCTCTCAGACCTCCATCCAGTCCCGGATAATTTCCACCTATGCATATCTGTTTTCCAGGGGGTAAGCATGGAGGCCGAATGTCCTCGGTTTTTGTAGACATCTATTGGACTGTTTTTGAGCAGATCACACACCTTTTGCAGTTCCTGGCTTGTTTTCTAATGGTTTCAACCTGTCTTTTTCACCCTCTGCTGTGGCTCCTGGGCTGAGACCCAAAGTGGCTGGGGGACACTCAGGGTCCAAGGTTCCCTATGCAGGTGCAGGCTGTGGCCCAAAAGCCCCTACTCGGCATCAATTTCCCCAGATGCCTATGGTGGGAGGCCCCTGGGGACACAGTACAGACAGACATAGTGCTTACAGTGAATGCCTCTTTGGCTCACTGGGCACACACAGGGCCCAAGGCTGCAGGGACCCTGAGAGGACAGGGTGTGCACTGGCTCCTGTTCACTGCTACTTGGCCAATGGCCACCCTGCTGAGTGGGAGCCCCATCCCCCACCAGAAACTTCTACCTGCCTGAAGAAGCCATGTCCCCTACAGGTCCCTCCATCCTGCCTTGCTGTATTCCTAGATATCTGCCCACAAGAGTGGCTGCTCTGGGTCCCAGGAGAGGCTCTGCAGATGTAGTCCCCTTGGGGCAGCGTGAGCAGCAGGGGCTCAGAGGGCAGACCCAGTCACCTATCCCAACTAGGTTCCTCCCCCAGCATCCACCTCTGTCCCTTCAGTTAGGGACAACAGACTGCAGCTCTCCTCCTGCCCAGCTGTGACATCTGTGGTTTCCTGGGCCCCTCGGTGTCTTCCTTTACAGAACATATCTGAGCCTGCAGCCTTTGCCCAGAGAGTCCAGAGAGAAACACAACTTCATGCAATCAAAGCTCAGACCAAGCTTGGCTGGGAACATGGGGACTCTTTGGTCCTGGGCTCCCTCCTTAACCTCTGCATCACATGCAAACTGGTCAACAAGACACAAGGGACTGGGCGGAATGGCATCTCCAGACTCCATCTCTTTGGTCCTGGAGTATCCTCTTAGCCCCTGTTGCCATGGCAACCCTGAGGGCCCAAAACAACAACCAATGCTATCCAAGTGCCTTTAGAATCATTAAAAGATAGGAGGGTACACTTCCGGCAGGGCTAGGGGTCACAAAGTGTCAGAACGTTACAGTGGGGTTCCCCATTCCCAACCTCTATCCTCACCCACTGCGTTGAACTGAAATCCAATAAAACAAACTGATTTAATACAAAAGTCAGGTTTTTATTATTATTATTATTATTCCCATAGGGAGGTGAGACACAGAGCGGCTGGGTTCCTCCCTCAAGGTTAGGAAGCTGGGTGGCTCTGGCTGCAAGGGTGACTGAGATGGAAGTTGGAGGTGGCAAAGACCATTGTGGTCTATACACCAGTCAACTCACTGAGGTGGTGGAGGCTGAGGCAGGAGGGATCAGGAATTCAAGGTCAGCCTCAGGTACTGTAACAAACTGTCTGTAGACCTCAGGTCTGGGCCTCACCTTACCTCAGACACATGGCGTCACCAGCAGCTTGGGACAGCTCTCATCTCAGCGGGAGCTTCAGGAGCTCAAAGGCAGGTGGGCTGCAGGCGGAGACAGTTTCAATGATTGGGAAAGTGTAGGTGGCTGTGGCAGGATATGGGAGGCACTTTTACTGTGAACAGAGATGGACAGTGATTTTCCCCTGGCCACACAGCAGGCAGAATGTATAACAAATTCTAATTAGTCTTAATAAATAAAGCCCAGAGTCAGATATTAGGGGTGAAAGCTGAAGGATCAGAGGAGCAGTGAGGCCAGCCACTGACCTTTGACCTCTACCAATGCTCAGACCGAGGGGCAAACCTGTCCTCAGACTGCACTGAGCTCCTCTATTTTTTTTTTTTTTTTTTTTTTTTTTTTTTGGTTTTTCGAGACAGGGTTTCGCTGTANTTTTTTTTTTTGGTTTTTCGAGACAGGGTTTCGCTGTAGCTTTGGAGCCTGTCCTGGAACTAGCTCTTGTAGACCAGGCTGGTCTCGAACTCACAGAGATCCGCCTGCCTCTTTTATTATGTATAGTGATCTGTCTGTCTGAGGGCCAGAAGAGGGCACCAGATCTCATTACAGATCTGGTGCCACCATGTGGTAGCTGGGAATTGAACTCAGGACCTCTGGAAGAGCAGCCAGTGCTCTTAACCTCTGAGCCATCTCTCCAGCCCACTGAGCTCCTCTTTCCGCCCAGCCATACACTACTGTCTTCACCTACTAGTGCTGGGTGGGATTAAAGGCGTGGGATCCCAAGTGCTGGGATCTTTGTGTGAGCTGTTTCTCCTTTAGACCCTGTAGCTCAGAAGTAACAGAGATCCCTCTGCCTCTGTCCAGGGATTAAAAGTATGGGCCACCACACTTTAATGCTTAGCTCTGCATTCTGATCCGCAGGCCAGCTCTATTTGCTAAACCATAAACAAATATCACTCCAGCAGAACAAAGCTGGGAGAGTTCTCTGGCAGAGTTGGACAGTGACCCCACCGAGGAGGAGGACATGAGCCTCAGAGATGTGCTGCCTCATCTGTAGGTCTGTCTGTCCCAGCTCTTGGCTCTGAGACCCTAGCCTGTCTTTTTATAATTTATTCTTTATCTATTATTTAACAGAATCTCATGTAGCCCAGGTGGTTCTCATGAGTGCTACCTAGCTGAGGGTGACCTTGAATTTGGGATCTTCTGCCTCCGCCCCCTCTCCCCCCCAATGCTGGGAGAGCCGCCTGCTCATCTTTGGGCCTCCCTTACCCCTACCCCAGGGCTTGCTCACTTCAGGGTCTCAATTCCTGGCTTCTGTCCTCGAGGGTGCTAGAGGTGAGGGGTGTCCCTGGGAAGGAAGGCCCCTGCCCCACCCTGGCAGGGGCCAGGCCCATGTACTTTCTTCCCTTGTCAAGGGGCCCGGGCTAGCTTTGGGGGCTGAGTTCTTGGGGACTTACTACCTGTGTCCTGATGTCCTCTGGGCTGGACATTATCCCAGTGTCCCGGGAGATGACTGACACATCTTATTTATTATGTATACAATATTCTGTCTGTGTGTATGCAGGCCAGAAGAGGGCACCAGACCCCATTACAGATGGTTGTGAGCCACCATGTGGTTGCTGGGAATTGAACTCGGGACCTTTGGAAGAGCAGCCAGTGCTCTTAACCGCTGAGCCATCTCTCCAGCCCCGAGTGGCACATCTTATTTCCTAGGGGAGAGGTAGTCCGGGGAAAACAAGAGTCACGAAGATCACACAGCACCATTAAGGTGGGGTCACAGAACTAGACAGGTGTCACCTCCATCTCAGGGGGTCCTTAGAGCAAAAGGCTTCAGTTCCCTCATAAGGCACCCTACCTGTGCACGTGCTCTCCCAACAAGTACCCCCAAATCCCCACAACAGCAAGAGTAACTCTAGTTACCCACTGGGGGCTGCTGAAGCAAGTGCTCTCACCTGGCGGCTCAACCCTCAGCAACCAGCTGCTGTGGTCTACTCAGGTCCAGGAAGAAACCACAGCCCAGAGGCTCCACACAGGGCACTTTAAGGTCCAAACAAAAAGAAAACATGTTCTCAACTTGTGGTCCAAGTCTGTGATTCCAGCTACTTGGGAGGCTGAGGCAGTATTATCTCAAGGCCAAGTTGTGTGTTGTGAAATCCTGCTTCAAAACAAAAGTGAAAATAGGCCTGGCTCGTGGGTGGAGGCCATGCCTAGAATCCCCAAGAAGGGGACTGAGGGCGTGGTCATTGGCAAATGGTTGAAACTTAAGGCGTGAAAGCCAAAGTTCATCCTCAGCAGGAGGGAGAGAGCTCAGTGGTTAAGAACATGCATGGATTTACAGGATCTGGGTTTGGCCCAGCACCCATGTTGGCTGGCTTACAATGGCATCTAACTCCAGTGAATCCAATGCCCATGGTCCCCTCAGACAACCCCACATATGTGGTACACACATTCTTGCATATATAATTCAAACAAATAAAAGTAGTCAGGCATGGTGGCATTCACCTTTAACCCCTGTACCTGAGAGGCAGAGGCAAGAGGAGCTTTGCAGCAGCCAGTTACAGTGAGATGCTGTCTCAACAGGGAAGGAAGTGCAATGGTCTCGGCCTTGCTGGGGAGGCCGGCTGTCACTGGAAGGCCTCCTGGCCCTGCCTGCTGGTAATTCATGCACACATGGACTGTTTACTCAGTAAAGCTACTTGGCACACCTGTGAGCACACCTTTATGGGAACAGACACCATGAATGTGTGGTGGTGATTGTCTCCTCTCCTAAGGAGTTCCCCAAGGGAAAGGGACTGTCAGGCTCGTGTGATACTTATGATACTGCCTTCTGCTTTTGAGAGTGGCTCTGTAAACCAGGCCAGCTCGGACTTCCTCTGGGCAGTAGGAAGACAGGCATGGCCTTGTTGCTATTTCCTAAGAAGGCTATGGTCAGGAAGAGCTGGCTCAGGGAAACAGGGAGCCTGGAGCCTGATCCCATCCCACAAGGCCTGCACTATCAGGTCCTCAACTGGTAACACAACTCACCCCATCCCACCTCCCTCAGGGTGTGGGTGGTGGCAAATGTGCGGGTCACCCTGACACCACACTCTAAGCCTGGTGGCTCTCCCAGCTGAGTTCCTGAAACCCTGCAATGTACAATTAATGAAAACCCAGAAACAGATATTGGGGCTCTACCTGAAGGTCAGAAAAGCCTAACAGCCAGCCACTGGCTCTAACCTCTCAGTCTGAAGTGGCGATTCTGCCCCAGGAATCCTCTGAATGAGACTGTGACTGAGAGCTGTCTCCTCCCATTTTATATTCCTCTCTATGCCTCTATGGCAAATGAGTGTGGCCACTGGGATTGGAGGTGTCACCACTGCCTGCTGGCCTGCTAAGGCTGATGCAGGGATGTTTTACTCTGACCTTCAGGCAAGTTATTATAATACAAACAAAACATCACTACATTGGAAGCTCAAGAAACTGCTTTTGGTGGTCCAGTGGGGCATATGACCCTACGACCCCTATGAGGGTGGCTCACTGTCATTAGCTGAATCTACCTGGGTCCCCAAGCAAACCATACATTCATACATCACTACTAGAACAAAACAAAGAACAAAACCTAGGACAGTAGCACGAGCCAGTCAGCCCAGAAGTCATGAGATGAGTAGCAAGACCATGAAATTCTAAGACATCCTTGGCTACATAGGGAGTTCAAGGCTGGCCTGGGGTATGAAAGACCCTACTAGAGAATAACAGAATGGAATTATGTTGCTAGCGGGGAAATCAGGTCTCCAGAAAGGCAGGCAGCTATTTCTGTGAGCTTGTGTAACCCCACAGCCCCCTATGTGCCCAAGAGGGGAAAAGTATTTCAAGGATGGTTGATGCTGGAATGTGGGGCTGCCTGGCCACTGCCAAGGCCTAACCTTCCTCCCTGCAACCCCTGATCCTGCCATGCACACACTCTAGACCACCCACATTCACCTGCCGCACGGGTGCTGTTACTTTAACTCCTATGTCCTGTTTACAACCCAGCCCCAACCCCACTCCAGTGGCAGGAGTATCCATGTCCACCCCGGACAGCTGAACATGCAGCTCTGGCCCAGCCTGTCCCTCACACTCCACCGTGGCCAGCAGGAGTCACTTTAGCCCTTTCAAAGTACATGGTAGTCACCTTTAGCCAGGTGCTTGAGGAGCAGTCAGACCCCACAGCTTCACAACTGTCTAGGACACCCCAGCCCCACCACCTACTTCGGGGTGGCTTAGTAGTGCCTGGAGGGCAGGACTTCAAAATCCGAGAGCCCTCCCTGGTTCTGTGCAAACACCACCCACAGTCACCCAGTAGACTAGAGCCCAACCAGGCCCTGGGGCAGGACACAGACACAAGACACTGAGCAAGATCACTTTATTGGATTTGAGCCAGGGAGGTGACACTATCTATTTCTGCCAGGATTCAAAGAAGGCTGCTCTAGCACAGGGCACCTGATCACCTTAAACATCAATAAAAAAAGTAAAATAGAAACCTTTATTTAGAATTAAAGCCAACACTTGAGAGTAACAAACACAGCATTCAGTTCGAAGAAGCACCCCACTAGTGGAGTGAGTGTTTATTCTGCACAATCACGACATGTGGACAAACCCAGGAGAGAGCACAGGGACACTGGGCAGGGCTGGCACCTAGTCTTCCTCGCCCGGGTCCTCTCTCTCCAGCGTGTAGACCATGAAGCAAGCATCGGGTCTCT